TTTCTGTCACCGCTGGCTGTGTGACCTTGAATAACTCACTTCGTCTCTCAACGCTTTGGTGTTTTCCCACTGTGAAATGTGCCCATTTTGCAGAGCCGCGTGGGATAGTGGTAAGGATTGATAAGGGTAATGAGTGCATGGAGGTGCTTCTGGTAGGCGCTCAAGTAAATGGTTGTGTATACTTTCATCAGGTCCAGGGAGTGCATTTGAAGACGAGTCACAGGTTAGAGCCAGGAAGTTCTGATAAGCTTCCTTGATGGCCTCTTGATGTGGCTGGATTTCTGCCTGTAGCCAGCTGGCTGATTCTCCATAGAGAAGCTTTGAGAGGTGGATTCTGAAGGGTCGGGCCTAGGCCAGCACTCTGCTATCTTGGGCCTGTCTCACTCAGGGACAATGCCTGATAGGGACGAAGCTCCTTATATAAAGGAAGCAGCTTTTCCAAGGGGCTGCTGTGTGCCAGGTCCCAGGTTAAGTGCTGTCACATACTCTGTAACACCAGCCTCAAAAACATACCAAGCTTTCACCGCCTCAGAGACTTCACACATGCTGTTCCCTCTGCCTGAAATGCTTACTCTCCACCTCCCAGCCACCACTCCCTCAGCCTTCATGTCATAGCTCCGTGATCAGAGACTGGGCTGTTCTGACCCACTCTCAGGCCCCACTTCTGACCAAGTCCCCCTTTGACACACACAGAGAATCCCAGTTCTATCACTTCCTGGCTGTGTGACTTGGAGTAACTCACCTTGCCTCTCAGAGTCTGAGTTCCCCACTGGAATGTGCCCGTCTTTCAGAGCATCGTGAGACGGCAGCTCTTGGTGGCAGTCATCACAGTCTGGAAGAAGAGTTAGTTTTCTGTCAGTTGCTTCATTAAAATCTGTCTCTCCCATGGCAATGAGAGCTCCATGGACCCAGAGGCCATGCCTGCTTGTTCTCCTCTTCAGCCAGTGCCCAGCACAGTGCTTGGCACATGGCAAGTGCTCTATACATTTTGTTAATAGATGTTTAAGGAATAATGATAATTACCATGTTTTGAGCACTTTGTGCCATGCTCTGTGCTAGACCACCGGTCCCCAACCTTTTTGACACCAGGGACTGGTTTCGTGGAAGACAATTTCTCCACGGACCAGGTGGTGGGGGGATGGCTTCCGGATGATTCAAGCGCATTGATTGATTATGGTCTCTGTGCAGTCAAACCTCTCTGCTGATGATAATGTGTGTTTGCAGTCGCTCCCCAGCACTTGCATCACCGCCTTGGCTCCACCTCAGATCATCAGGCATTAGATTCTCACAAGGGGTGTGCAACCTAAATCCCTCGCGTGTGCAGTTCACAGTAGGGTTCGCGCTCCTATGAGAATCTAATGCCGCCGCTGTTCTGACGGGAGGCAGAGCTCAGGCGGTAATGTGAGCGATGGGGAGCGGCTGTAAATACAGATGAAGCTTCGCTCGCTTGCCCTCTGCTCACCTCCTGCTGTGCGGCCTGGTTCCTAACAGGCCATGGGGACTGATAGCGGGTCCGTGGCCCAGGGGTTGAGACCCCTGTGCTAGACTCTTTATAAAAGCATCTAATTTAATCTCTATAACAACATGGGTGGGAGTGTGGGGGGCAGGTATCATCGTTATTCCATTTTTTAAAAAAATTTATTTTTTTATACAGCAGGTTATTAGTTATCTATTTTATACATATTAGTGTATACATGTCAATCCCAATCTCCCAATTCATCACACCACCACCACCGCCCCCGCCCCCACCCCTTCCCCCCCTTGGTGTCCATACGTTTGTTCTCTACAGCTGTGTCTCAATTTCTGCCCTGCAAACCGGTTCATCTGTACCATTTTTCTAGGTTCCACATATATGCGTTAATATATGATATTTAAGCTGAGGAAGCTGAGGCTTCAAGAGGTAAAGTGACTTACCTAAGGTCACATAGCCAAGAAGGGCTGAAGCCAAGACTCGAACCTAAGTGTACCCATCTCCAAGCCATGCTCTCAATTAGGATGCTATACTGAAGGACAGGCTCTTACGTGGAGCTGTTAGGGGCCAGGAGGAAGAGCTTTGGGGGTGGGGGACAGAAGTAGAGTGTGTTGGCAAGAGCAGAGGCCCAGGGCAAGCCATGGCTAATGCCTTTAGGCTTGGCCTCACAGGATGACTGTAGTAGGGCAGCGGGCCCTGGGAAAATGCATTACGCCAAGAGGCTCCCAGAAACATCCACTTGTCTAAAATGCCTTTTCCAAAAAAGTGCTTGTTTTAGTCTACTTTTATTCATGTTTTTTTTCTGATTACAAAATCAGTGCATGTTCATTAGCGAAAAATGAGAAAATCTGAAAACCATAAAGAAGGAAATTTCCACCCAGAGATAACCACCCTCAAATTTCTATGTATTTCCTTCCTATATCTTTCCTCTGTATCCCAGGCATACATTTCCCACATAATTCGAATCAAATCATATATTCGGTTTTGTATCCTCAGCTGTTCATTTAATATTATATCACGGGCATTTCCCCCCCATTGTTAAATATTAATTGAAAACTTGATTTTTCAAAATATTGGGGTTTTTGATGATAAAACTTTGCAGTGTATATGTTTACTGTAGAAAAGTTGGAAAATACAGAAAAATCTGAAGAAAATCCCTCATAACCTCACCCACCTGAGAGATAATGACCATTAACATTTTGTTGTATGTCTCTCTAGAACTTGATTTCCTATGCACATATAGTATTATAGACAGATACATACAGACACATGCACACATACATACTTTTTAAAAGGACCAAACTGAAATCCTACTTCTTCCCTCAGGTTATGGGGAAGCATCCACTAACGCAAGACAAACTCAAATGTCCACAGATCCCAAGCAAGTAGTTGAGATGGGTGAAGGGGCCAGCTCAGGGCCATGGGGAAGGAGAGCAAACAACCTCAGCAAAAGGGCAAGCTGTAACCCATTGATGACAGGTGAGAATTCAGGTCCTGTGTCACTAGACCTGATTTTCCAAGAGAGGCTATAAATCCAGTGTAAAGTGAATCTCCTGACTCTTAAATACTGGCCACTAGTTCAAAAAATATTTTGAAAGACCAAGGGGTGATTTATTCAACAAACCCCTGGAAGGGGAAAAAAGAAGAGGCAACCATAGCTTAAAAGAGGCCAGTGACAATGAGTGGGCTTTATTTGGACCTTCATTCAAAGAAACTGGGAACAAAGCATATTCTCACACACAATAAAGAAGTCTTTACATTTTAGAGAGACATACTGAAATTTTTTGAGATAAAATGGCATGTCTAGGATTTGCTTCAAAATAATATAGGAGGGAGAACTGATGGGGGCATCAGTGAAACAAGATTGGCCATGAATGGTAATTGTTGAATCTGGGTAAACAGCATTCATTATACTATTTGTATGTTTGGTTTTTTTTAAATAAAAATTTTAAAAAAAGGAAAAAAAAAACAAACACCAGTAGGCCAACCAGACAGGTCTGTGAGCCAGCATCAGAACTTGGATGGCCAGTTTGCAAACTACCCTGTGTGGAGCAGGGGTGGGGAGTAACATATGAGGCTCTCACCAGGGGTTAGGGCATGTTTTTTGCAAAACCATGTTTGTTATTATGATTTAATTTTATATTTGGAAAACTAAAGAGGAAGAAATATTTTTTTCCCCATGACGTAAATTACAGAATGGTAACAAAATCTTAGCTAGAGTGGTTTGGTTTAAAAAGTCTGAGTAACACTTTTTCTTGCTTCCTTTACTTGCTTTGGTTAACAAGAAAATTTTGATCACAAAAACAACTTCAAAATACTTTCTTTCCCTGATATCTTTGTTATTCAGAGAGGCAGTCAGTCTCTGCTAGAGACCTCATTCATTTATTCATCCAGTAAACTACATAATAATGAAGGCTATCTGCCAGGCACTCTGCTAAGCCCTGAAACTTGGTGGTGAACAGACTGTCACAGACACGGCCCTCCAGGGACTCACATTCTAGATAGGGACAGTCAACAAGTAATCTGTTGATACCAAAGTATGAAGAGCTGGATGACAAACACTATTTTTATTTGCTTTTTTACTTAATATAGATCAAGAGCATTTTTTCATGTTACTAAAAATTGTTCAAAAATATTTTCATGACTGTGACTTTTAAAACACGCCCCCTTAGTTTCCTGTCCTATACAATGAGGCCATTTCTTGCAGAAACCTTACACATTCAAAGGTGGGGTAGCACCCAGGCACTGTGCTCCCTGCTGCAGACACAGCAGTGAGGACAGGCCCATGCCCCGCCTTCTTTCAGAAGTAGCATGGAACCAGACAGCCCCGGGTTCGAGTCCTGACTTTGCCACTTAATTGCTGTGCAACCTTGGTCGTGCTCCCTAGCCCCTTTGTGCCTCAGCTCCCTTCTTTACCAAATGGTGGGTGATAACAGTACACACCTCACAGGTTGTATGAGGACTAAATGAGAACCTGTGAAAAGGAGCTTAAAATAACCTGTCACACAGTAAGGCCACAAACCCAAGGGTTTGCTCTTTCCCTTGAAGCTTATGTTCTGGTTGGGGAAGCAGACAATAATGATTTTTAAATGCCCTTTAAATATGTGTATGTGTAGCTGATTCACTTTATTATGAAGCAGAAACTAACACCAATTAAAAGAAAAAAAAAATCTTCAAAAGTATGAAAACCTCTGAGGGGGGTGGGAGGAAGGAAGAAGGGGGAAAGAAAAAAAGGGAGACGAGAAGACAGAAAAGAGGGAGAGGAAAGGATGGAGGGATGGGAGTACGAGAAGGAGGGAGGAAAAAGGGAGGAAGGGCCTCATCTGCCCGTCCCAAAGATAAGAAGAGTCAAGTGCACTCGGGATGATGCTTAATCCAATTCTGTGCACCTGAGGATCTTAAATAACCTCACGAAGGAATCAGAAAAAGAAAGGGAGGGCTCGGGTGGGGGTGGGGGCATGGGGAGGGCAAGGCGGGGGCTCCTGGCCGGCTGCGCCCTCACTGCCCTTCTTCTGCCCTCCCCGCGCAGAGAGCGGGTTCGCCGACACGCTGACGCCCGCGCGCCTCGGCCAGGCCCGCTTCAGCGCCTGCCTGCCGCCCAGCAGCCACGACGCGGCTAACTTCGACAACAACGAGCTGGAGAACAACCAGGTGGTGGCCAAGCTGGGGCACCTGGCGCTGGGCCGCGCCCCGGGCCCGCCGCTCGCCGACCACGCGGCCGCCGCCATCCCGTGCGGGCCCCGCGAACGCCCGCGGCCCTCGTCGTCGCCGGCGCTGCTAGAAGCCGACCTGCGCTTCCACGCGACGCGCGGGCCCGACGTGAGCCTGTCGCTCGACCGCAAGGTGGCCTGCGCGCCGCGGCCCGACGGCGGTCGCACGCTTGTCTTCTCCGAGCGCCCGCTGCGGCCCGGCGAGAGCCTCTTCGTGGAGGTGGGCCGCCCGGGGCTGGCGGCGCCCGGTGCGCTGGCCTTCGGCATCACGTCATGCGACCCGGGCGGGCTCCGGGCCGCCGAGCTGCCCACCGACCCCTACGCGCTGCTCGACCGCAAAGAGTACTGGGTGGTGGCGCGCGCCGGGCCCGTGCCAAGCGGAGGCGACGCGCTCAGCTTCACTCTGCGGCCCGGCGGCGACGTGCTCCTGGGCGTCAATGGGCGCCCGCGCGACCGCCTGCTGTGCGTCGACACCACGCAGGCGCTCTGGGCCTTCTTCGCCGTGAGCGGCGGTGCCGCAGGCCAGCTGCGCCTCCTCGGTGAGTCCCCCGACCGCGCTTTTGCGGGGCTCACCTCGGGAATCCTGGCACCACTGGATAGGTAGCCGGAGCCACTGCTGAAGCCCAGCCGTGGTCCCCTAAACTTGAGCGCGCATCAGAACCGCCTGGCCTCCACCTAGAGTTTCCCATTCAGTGGGGGTGGGTCCTGAGAAGATGCATTTCTAACCAATGCCCCGGGGATGCCTTTGTTGCAGCTCCCTGGACTACACTTCATCCACACCAACCCAAGTACCCGCTGGTGTCAGAGCCTGACAAGGAAATTGTCGGTGCAATTTTTATTTCCATTATTATGATTTATTATAAATATTTTTACATATGTAATGTATATTAAGTGTAGGAGAAAAAGAAAATACAACTACATTTAAAAGAGGAAAATGAGAATAACACCGTCCACAGAAAGTGGAACGCAGGCTTGAACCATCCCGTTTTGAGATTGAGTCTTGCCTTCATTCATGCCACAAATAGACACGCAGCACCCTCCTCCAGCTGTGGGCCAGGCCCTGAGCTCGTGGGATGGGGCACGGCAGAGGAGAGGACACAGACCATGGAGCGCCCTCACGTCCTCACAGACACCCAAATGGAGATTTGCACGGTGTGGTGTTTGCTACAGCAGAGGGGCTTCTCTTCTTGCCAGCTTGGTGGAGCGGGGCTGGTGATCAGGGAAGGTTCCCAGAGAGCACAGCTCCATTTTCGTGTTTCAAGAAGTAAAGTCCAAACGATAACAGAAACGATGAACATTTCATATGTCACCTCGTTCAGTTTTATCCTCCTGAAAATTGAAGCACAGGGAGATTAAATAACTCCCAGTCACGTGGCTGGTCAGCCATGAAGATGCTGGGCAAATCAGAGAATCCCTGAGCCTCAGTTCCCTTCAGTGTAGAAAGGGAGTGATGACGTGCATCGTGGGGTTGTTGTGAGGATGAAATGATGAGGTGCATATAATGCTTTTAAGCAGGTGCCTGCCACATGCAGCATGTTTAATAAGTAGCAATAGTAACGACAGTGACTGTTGCTGTTTGACTGAGGACAGAGGAGGAACAGGGTAGTGGTGGTTGTAATTTGGTTGGTTTGGGTTTGTTTTTTTTTTTTTTTTTTAAGGGACCATCAGACAATAGTCATCATTTCAGCCTGAGATGAGTTGCCCAAGTTCCCACTGGGACTTTGCAAGAACTAAGCCTAGAGTCATTCTCTCCCCCTCCCCAGCACCTCCAGAAGAACCACGATGAGCCTTTGAGTGGTCAGGAAGAGAAGGCAGGAGAAGCTAGAAAGGAAGTGACTGCTTTTAGAGGCCAGGGACTTGCCCTCCTGATCCCCGTCTGACAGCAACCCTGGTTCTGTAATCTGTCCATCCATCCTCAAGTAGGGCAAGGGAAGGGGCATGTCTCTTCACATCAGAGATAACCCATCATTATCTGAACCAACAGTGAGTTCAGGGAAGAAGACCCATCCATGTTGAACACTAGTTGGGAGTCTTGTAGTTGCAAGTAACGAAACCCCACTCACAGTGCCCTAAGCCAAAAAGGAATTTGGGGGGTACACACATGCCTCAGAAGTCTGGGAGTGTATTGGATGGATTCAGGAACAGCTGGATCTAGGTGTTGAAAGGATGTCATCAGGATTCCACCTGAAAGCTGTACTTGCCTCTGTGTTGGCTTGACTCTCAGGCAGGCCCTACAGCACCAGGCTCATCTCCCCATGGAATGGGCCCCTTCTTTCCTAGTAGTTCTAGTAAAAGTCACAGAATCTGGCCTTGCAGGCCTTGCTTGAACCACCACTGAGACCAAGGGTGGAAGTTCTTACTGGCCTGGCCTAGATCGTGTGTGTGAGGGTGAAGTAGTGCCTCAAACAAAATTCCAGTGCTGTTTCTGAACTAAACAAGAATGGAGGCTAGGCGGCAGAGACCAGATGTCTATCACACATGTACGATTCCATCAGTTCTTAGCAGAACCCTGTGAGGTAGCTCTTGTCCTCCCGTTAGATACATGAGGAAGTGAAGGTGCAAAGCAGTGGAGAGCCGGGGACTAGCAGAGCAGAGCCCACCTCCCACTGCCCCTGATGGAGTCTCTTTGGTCTCAGGCACCCTGCAGTCCAGCCCAGCAACCACGTCCCCATCAGGATCCCTCAGCGGCTCCCAGGACGATAGCGATTCCGACATGGCCTTCAGTGTCAACCAGTCCTCCTCGGCATCTGAATCATCCCTGGGTAAGGAAGGGCACACCTTCAGGGAGGGGGAGTGGAGGGTGCAGGGAGACAGGGGCTCGCCCTGGTGGCTGTACCAGCGCTTCCTGGGGCTAAACAAGGTGGCTGCCTTTCCCCCGCATCCTTTCCTTCTTCAGCTGTAGGGAGGAGAAACATCTGGATGTGGCATCCCAGAGGCTGATAATGGTGCTTGATGCTTGGGGGTAGGAGCGTAGGAAAGGGGGCAAAACCCAGGAGAATAACCAAAACTGGTGTCTCCCGAAGTTGTCCCCCCATGGATTCTGCCATAGAAGCCCTGCCTTCTTGGGATTGCCCCAGCAGAGCCCACCTGAGAACCACGGATTAAGGTCTGCCTGTTCTCCCTTTCTGCAGTGACGGCCCCCAGCTCCCCACTGAGCCCACCAGTGTCCCCCGTGTTCTCCCCACCAGAGCTGGTGGGCAGCAAGAACAGCGAGTGCGCGGTGTGCTTCGATGGCGAGGTGGACACAGTCATCTACACGTGTGGACACATGTGCCTGTGCCACGGCTGCGGCCTGCGGCTCAAGAGGCAGGCCCGGGCCTGCTGCCCCATCTGCCGGCGGCCCATCAAGGACGTCATTAAGATCTACAGGCCGTAGCCTGGCCCGCCGACGGCCTTGACCAGAGCAAGGTCACCTTTCTGAAGCCCACCCCTACCCCGGGCCGGGCAACCACCATGGCCGCCGGGGAGTCCAAGGGCAGCAGCTATCTTGCCTGCCACTCTCCAGGGGTGGGCAAGGCGTGACAGTCGTGGACATGAGGCCCCCAGGGGTCTCAGTCCAAGTGAGGGTTGCTTCTGGCTCGAAAGTGCTTTGCCCCCAAAAGGCCGTCCCAAGAGCGAGCTCAGGAACTGCCTGGCAGACTGCCCTGTCCCCCGGTGACCTCTCAGCTGAGAAATGGCGTCCTCTGTGCAATGCCTTTTGCTGGCGTTGGGTTGAGTGTGTGAGAGATGGAGAGGGGAGGGAGACAGTCCAGAGAGGGCGAGTGTGTGAGAATGACCTAGAGAGCACGTGTAGGTATTTATCCAGGGATCCTGGCTCTAGGAGGTTATTTAACACTAAGGAATGTGCAATCCGGAGCCCAGACGGTAGCGTGACTAGAAGTTGTTCACTTTACAGGGCTGTGACGTCAGCTGGTTTTGAATGTACAAAGCCTGCACCTAAACAGAACTCCCTCAGGTGGTATAGAAAAGGGACACTCAGATTTTCTAAGGCGAGGAAAAAATAGCTCCTTGTTTACAGCTCCAAAGCGGCAACTCCTTGGGGAGTAGTTGGGCGGAGAACATAAGAGAACAATTTGCTTTTTCAGTTTCTAACTCAGTCTTGGAGAGGAGTTTTGACTGGGTGCTGGGGCCAGAGCTCTGGGCAGTGTCTTCTCCAGAAGGCTTGTCACCCCTTCAGCCCCAGACAGCCTGATTACAAGCACACCACCCCTTGACTCCATCCCTACCTGCTTTTAGTCTATAGCATCCTCACCATCTCCAAGGAGAAGACAAGCAACAGGTTCCCTTTTCCTGGGGGGGGGCGGGGGGAAGAATCCTAGATGCCGGTGAGCCACCTGGGGTTGGAAAGGGTCACTCCGAAGCTCTCCACATTTCCTGCTGAAATACGGGGCCTGGCATTTGCCAACGGCTGTGGGCATCACCAGGATGACCTGCTGGCCAAGTAGGGGAAGGAAGCAGGGCTTTGCAACCGGAAGATGTTAACTGATCATTAGGATGTTAACTAGGAACTGAGACACTCGCTGAAAATGCTGACACTGGGACTATCCCCCTCCCCAGGGTTATTTGCTGGGCATTTCCTGGGACCCTGGCCCTGCCCCAACCCCCTCCCCCCTGCCTGGGCCCATCTCTGCAGACTCCCGGACCACACCTGAGCTGATGGGCTGGGAGGCCTGCAATTCCCTTCTGGGCCCCACCTCTGCCCTGTCTTGTGCTGTACCTTTAGGGAGGTCCCTGGGCCTCTCTGTTTCTCAGTTCCCGATCTGTCCAAGAGGAAGCCTGGTACCTGCCCACTCCAGAGCTTTTGGCAGGACTGGCACATTTTAAAAGGCCCAAGACACCTTGCAAAGAGCAGGTATTGTTTTTAGTCCAATTCCTAATCTGTTCCTCTGTTGAGGGAAGTGGGGAAGGGAGGACATTCAGAGTTTTTGCCTTCATGTAACAAGTGTTGGTTGCGTGTCTGGGGTCCCCCTCATCAGATCAAGGCCCATAAGGCCAGTCAGTCCGTGCCCTTGTGATGCTCCAGGTCTTAGACCATCTGCTTCTCCTCTGCCTGGTATTCGGACCTGATCTCAACTTCAGAAGCCCTACTCTTGCCCCTTCAAGGATCCCTGATTAGTTCTTTTTCCCTTATGAACTTGGGAAACATGCCCAGGTTTTAATTTTGCAGCAGAATCTTTAGGGGAGTGACTGGCACCCCAGCATTTGCCAAGATAAGAGTTTGCAAACCTAGGCGGCGCGCGGCACCCAGCTGAAGTTGGTCCGCTGGAGCCTTCTATTTCCCCCGCGTGCTGGGTGTGGGCAAGGCCACGCACAGGCCCCCTGTGAGAGGGCTAGTCACCCACAGGACCGTGGTTCTCCAGGCAGCAGCTCCACTGACTGGATTGAGCCATAGTCGCAAGCCCCGGTGGTCTCGGCGGCCTGGGGGAGCCAGCTCCTCTCTCTTGTCCCCTCGGGTTCCAGCCAGGGTCAGTGCAACCACTGCCAGGAATCCAGGGATCGAGGGCCTGGACCCAGGGTGGACCAGGCCATGTGCCTGGTGACCTATTACCTGGGAAGAAGGGAGCTGGTGGCCTGTTTAACATGCTCTGCAGCTGCTATAAATAGCCTCCCTGTTTCCAAGAGGAATTAAGGGTGTGTTTATCTTCTAAAAACCAGACATTTCCTGATGCTCGAAACTGATTTCTTCAGCGCTGCAGAGGAGCTGCCCACACCGCCCTCTAGGTTCTGTCTGGAGAGGGGGCAGGAGGAAGAGGGAAGGGAACCCCTCTCCTTTATTTGGCATCACTGTGTGCCTGGCACTGGGCTGGAGAGGTGCATCCCCATGTCAGTCCTGTGAGGGAGGTCTTAGTACCATATTGAGTCGTATCAAAGACACCACTGATGACAAAACACACCATTCTATGTACCACTAAGGGAAAAACACTGCCGATTTCAACTGTAAGGTGCCACAGCTATTCGATTCATTTTACTCCAACATAAGTGGAGAAGCTGTGCTCCTAGAATCAGTGAAATACGATATTATCCCCAGTTGGCAGGTAAGAGAACTAAGGTGCTGGAAGTGAAGCAGGAGGTGACAGGACTGGGCTTCAAACCCAGGAGCGCGTGATGCCAAAACCCACGCTCTCCGCTGCTTGGCCCTGAGCCCAGAAAGCTCGAGACTGCTTGAGTTTTCTTCCTTGAAGCTCACCTGGGCAGCGCCTGGAGAGAGCTGGGCACCCGCCCCTGTGTGAGGGTTCCAGCCCCAGACTGCGGCCCCTGTGCCGCCCGGAACCCTGGGAGCACAAGTGTCCTTCCTTTCAGGCTTATCTGCCTACTGTCCACCTTCTCCCGGCAGAGCTGAGCCACGTGTGAGCTTGGGTCCAACCCAAGGGCCTCCTCCTGTTACGTGGGGGTGCCCACCAGGGGCAACTTCGGGGAGACACTTGTCCCACCACCTTCCTGGGCCTCATGACCACCACCCCCCTAAGTAGGGCCCCCAGCGCAAGGACAGGAAGACCAGAGGATACCCCCATTGTTGTGGTCTGGTGCCTGTTCATGCTGAACCGCCAGAGAAATTGAGCTGTTTCCAAGTCGAGACAAACTCCTTTTTCCAGCCCATTCTCAGAACTGGGAGTCTTCTGGGATTTAGCTACCCAGGGCAGCTGCTCCCCTAAGTACAGCAATGCTTTGTCAGTCATCCGACAACCACTGGTCAGCGTGGCCTGTGTTCTGGACAAAGGGATGGGAACCGGGTCTAAAGACAAGGCCTGCAGGGAGCTCGCAGTCCAGAGCAGGAGGTGGGCAGATTTGTAAACTTGTATTGGACCCATCTAGTGCTGGGTCCTGTGGTAGCACTTAGTAGGTACTCATTAAAGATTTACTGAGTAAATCAGAAATCAGGTTATGAGTCTTCAGGGTTTGGTAAAACATCATGTATACATGCACACAAAGTCATTCAACAGACATTTGCTGAGTGCCCACCAGGCGTGGGGTGCTGGGAGGACGGAGCTGAGCGGATAGGACCCCAGCTCTGACGTCAGAGGGAGTGACATTATGAGACATTTGGGGCAGAGTCCATGGGCTTTCCTGGCCATTCTGTTGCCTCGGGGGTCTATCTTAGTGAGTACACAACTGCTTTCCAGACCCAGAGCCCCCTGCACACTTCAGAAAGCCTCCTCTGAATTAGGAATGCCGGGCATCTCGTAGTCACTGAGTTGCTGCCGAAATGGCCTTGGACAGAACCCTCAAGAGCCCCACCGACCGATAATCGCCTTCAGGTCTTGCCAGGGAGACACAGGGAGGCAGCTACCTGCTACTTTCAGGCCTTGGGACTGGTGGCTGGCAATCAACCCCCAAGTCGGCAGAGAACCCCCAGTCAGTTCCAGAATAGGGTTGTGCAAACTCTTGGCGAATGAGAGCACCTTCCGCTGCTCAATCCTGTCTCTGACCCGGTTCTGGCAGAAGGACTCCGGCTCGGGAACACGTGTCCTCCCGGCATCTCTCGGTATTTAATTTTCTCACCGTCTTTCTCAAGTCCCTAGTGAGATGACTTGTACAACAATTTGTCTGTGCCTTATGAAAGTGTCTGTGCACTTTTAATCCTTTTTGAAAGCAACTTTAAAAAGTGGGCCGGGGACTAGCATACGTGGTAGTGTTCTAGAAATCTGTGCTCATCACTGAAACCCTTCTGCATTGTGTATTTGATGTTGGAGTGAAGAAGTGTACGTCCCCCGCCCCACCCCACTACCTGTGTACAGACCTTTTTAAAAATGTCTCTTTTTCTGATTCAATACTGTGACCTCTCCAATACAGTCTAATCTTTGGAGATCTGTAATAAAGGTTTCAAAACCTGGGGGGAATGGGTGGGGAAGGGTTTGCACTGGTCCTGTGTGTTGTGCTCTTGCGTGTTGTGTGTTTTGATTTTTGTCTGTTTTTATCCGTTTTATATTAACATAATTTTCCTGTTTAAAAAAACAAATACAACTTTGGCTTGTTAAGAAAGTCTCTTCAGGACTCAGTTTTAAAAATCACAGTTGCCTACACAGTTGGGGAGTGGAGGTGAGGGATACAAATCATTGCCAGCCTTGAGGAGACAATTTGCAAAATGTCTATAGAACCCTGAGAATATTCAAACCTTTTGCCAAGTAACTCCTGAGAAAATATCCCCAGGAAATAATTCTTGTTGAGGATAAGCTCTATATATAAAGATGTTCATTGCAGCATTATTTATAATGATGAAAAACTAGAAGCAAGCCTGATGACCAACAACCAGGGTTTATAGTTGTCCCCCACCATTCTGTCATCAGGGGATTGGCTCCAGGACCACCCTGCCTTGGAGTATCCACGGATGCCCAAATCCCTTATATAAGATGGTGTCGTATTTGCATATAACATACGCACATCCTCCCATATACTTTAAATCATCTCTAGAATACTTAGAATACCTAATGCAAGGCAAATGTTATGTAAATAGTTGCCAGCCCAGCAAATTCAAGTTTTGTTTTTTGGAACTTTCTGGAATTTTTTTTCAAATATTTTCCATCTGAGTCTGGTTGAATCCACAGATGCAGAACCTGCGGATATGGAGGGCCAACTGTACTTGCCAAGAGCTCTTGGTTACAAGTGACAGAAACCCAACTGAACGGGCTTTGGAGAATTAAAAGGCTCAGGTAACTGAGAAGTCCAGTATCAAAACCTAAGAACTCACTTCGGGTGCATTTCGATCCGGAATCTGAAAAGCTGCAAGAGGATGTGGTCTTTCCCCCTCTGCCTCTGCCTTCTTTTGTCCCCACTTCCCACACAAGTTCTCAAGACAGCTGGCAGCAGGTCCAGGTTATATCCTGCCTTTGAGCAATCCCTGCGTGGACCAAACTGGATCACGTGCCCCTTCCTTAGCCAATCATGGAAGCTGGGGAGATCCGGGGCTCTGATTGGTCAGACCCAGGACATGCGCTCACCTCCACCCAATAGCCTCACCTGTTGAATTATGGGTTGGGGGGTGGGAATCAGAGACCCCATGGGAAAATTGAAGCGATGTTGAAGGAAAGCTGGGCAGGGAGGAACAACAGGTGTCTAAGAAAGGTTGAATAAAACATGATACAGATATATCCCTGGGAAATAGTATGGGCTGTGAAACCAGACAGCCTGGTGCTCACCTCCACATTGGGCCAGACACTTAAACTCTTTGTGCCTCAGTTTCCTCATCTGCAAAGCAAGAATAATACGAGCTCCTGGTTTTAGGATGGATGTGAGCATTATTGAGACCATGCGGGTGATGTGCTAGGCACAGCATCTGGCACTCAGCAAAGAGTTTATAACACAGGAACATGTTTACATTAAAATATACTGTGAAAATCAAGATATAAAACTGCACATACAAAAAACAAATAACCCAATCAAAAAATGGGGGAAGATCTAAATAGACATTTCTACAAAGAAGACATACAGGTGGCCAAAAAGCACATGAAAAGATACTCAACATCAGTAATTATTAGAGAAATGCAAATCAAAGCTACAATAAGATATCACCTCACACCGGTCAGAATGGCCATCATCAAAAAATCTACAAGCAATAAATGCTGGAGAGGGTATTGAGAAAAGGGAACCCTCCCACACTGTTGGTGGGAATGTAAATTGGTGCAGCCACTAAGGGGAACAATATGGAGGTTCCTTAAAAAATTAAAAATAGAACTACCATGTGACCCAGCAATCCCACTACTGGGCACATACCCAGAGAAAACCGTAATTCAAAAAGTACATGCACCCCAATGTTCATTGCAGCACTATTTATAATAGCCAGGACATGGAAGCAACCTAAAAGTCCATCAACAGAGAATTGGATAAAGAAGATGTGGTACATATATACAATGAAATATTACTCAGCAATAAAAAAGAGCAAAATAATGCCATTTGCAGCAACATGGATGGACCTGGAGATTGTCATACTGAATGAAGTAAGTCAGACACAGAAAGACAAATATCATATGATAGCACTTACATGTGGAGTCTAAAAAACGGGGCTACAAATGAACTTATTTACAAAACAGAAGTAGAGTCACAGATGTAGAAAACAAGCCTATGGTTACCAAGGGATAAGGGAGCGGGGGGGAGGGATAAACTGGGAGATTGGGACTGACATATATACACACTACTATATATAAAATAGATAACTAATAATAACCTGCTGTATAGCACAAGGAACTCTACTCAGTACTCTGTAATGGCCTACATAGGAAAAGAATCTTAGAAAAAAAAAGTAGATATATGTATATGTATAACTGACTCACTTTCCTGTATACCTGAAACTAACACAACATTGTAAATCAACTATACCCCAATAAAAATTTGAAAAGCAACAACAACAACTCAAAAACAACCCTGCACATACACTTTGATTGGATGGATGTAAAACAAACAAACAAACAAAACAAACCACCACCAACAACCAATAGCCCTAAAACCTGACCATGCATTGGAATGACCAACAGAATAGAAGCAAAATGTCCATGGGGGTTGTGTCTGGGTGATGGCATTATTGGTAACTTTTTTTCTGCCATGTTTTCCAATTTTTCTATAATGACCAGTTATTGCTTTTAATTTAAACTTCTTATTTGGAAAAATGATCTCCCTGCTCTGCAAAACCCGACAGGCACAGCTGGCCCTTGCTAGAATTCAGCAGGAATTCCCAGGCTGACTGTCTGCGTTTGAGATCCAAATTTAGTCACGGTGGAGATAAGGGCTTGCTAGTTTCTAGTGGAGACCAGGCCAGGCTAACCAGTTTGGTTGGGCTTCCTCCAGGCCAGGCTTTAGAGCCCAGATTTCTGGGGTGGAGCCTTGCAGTGGTATCAGGAGTGGGGGGAAGGAAGAAGAGAAGTTGCTGCCCAGGGCTGTTCCTCCTGGCTTGTTAGAATAGCCCAGCTAGGTGACATTGAATTTTGGAAACAGTAGGGTAAGAGAAATGAACCAGCATTTATCGAGCGGAAGAAACCGTGATTTTCACACATTCTCTCAATGAATCTTCACCACAATATTTGTCTCCTCATTTTACAGAGAGGAAACCAGGCTCCCTCCAAGGTAGAAGGAGTATTAGACCCCAGGTGTGCCTGTTCCAGAGTAAAGAGGCAAAATCTTTCAGAGGCACATTTTCACCCTTTCCCTTAGGTCTCAGAGGCAGAGTCTGCCCAGAACTTAATCTAAACGCTTAATCCCTGAACCAATCTCCGTCACACACCCACACCTGATACAAAATCAGGTATGACATGGCCTTTACCCTCAAGAATCAACCAATCTGGAACGGGAAGGCAGACCCCAAAACAGACATGTTCAGGCTAGTGTAGTTCTGAGGCTGCTGGGGCAGATCAAATCCAAGGCATAAAAGCTCTTGATCATTTAGTGATGTAATTTAAGCATCCTTCTTTCTCCTGGATGTTCAGGCTTTTACCAATGCCTGGGCCATACTCCCAGGCACATCATATTCTTGTCTAAAGCTTCAGTGTACAAAGCCCACGCCCTGACCCTCAGCATACCTGATGCAGCTAGCCTCAGGAGTTTTGCCAAAATATATATATAAAGACTTCTCTTTCCCTCATTTCCTGGCTTCCCGCAGGACAAACAATCCTTAATAGTAATAATAATAATAAACAAATCATTTAATGACCACTTACTATGTGCTAAGGACATCCATTGAATCCTCATGACAGCTCTTTGAGGTAGATCCCATCATTACTCCCATTTATGGAGAGAAAACCAAGACTCAGAGAAATTAAGTAACTTTATCCCACTGTGCATGGCCTCTCAAAGACAAAAGGATTTCTTCTCTTTCCTTTTGTAATTATTTCCCAGAATCTAAACCCAGTGATGTTTCAAGGGCAAATGGGCCTGGAACATATTCACTTGTGTTTTCATTGATCCTACAAACAGCCATTCAGGTAGGTATTATTGTCCCATTTTACAGGTAAGGGAAGAGAGGCTCAGAGAGGGCAATGACCTGCCTGAATCACACAGCTCGTGAGCTGTGGAGCCCAGGTTGTGAACCACGTCTGGCTCCTTCCACGGCATCATGGCTTCTCTGTGAGTAAACTGTAGGGAGGGGGAGGAGGAGGGGGAGGAAGAGGAAAGAGAAGAAAGAAAAGGAAGGGTGGGAGAGGAGGGAAGGGGAGAGAAGCGGAAGGGAGAGAACCAGACTCAGCACCTAGAAGGGCAAGGAGAGAAAAGCTGTCAATCCAGGTCCTCAACTTACATAACGTCTATTAGCCCAATTCCAGGGACAGAGAATCTTTGCTTCTCCCTTCAGGCTCAAGTCTCCTGGCTCTTGGAAGCTGGTTTTGGCTCCCACACAGGGATGTGGAAAATGAACTTTCCAGGCATCCAGCTATGGGAACAGAGCCCCAACCTTGGCTGTTAAATGTACCCAGGGGAAGCTTCCAGAAGTCCCTGGGGCAGCTGCATCAGAGTGCTTTGGGCAGGCTGGTCCTCTTCCCTCAGCCCCCTCCCCTCCTGGCTATGACCTGCCCAGGTCTAAACCTTCCTCTCGCAATTCAGAGCCTCAGACTCCCCGCCTGCCTCTCCCCGATGCCAGGGAAAGGCTTCAGCCATCCTTTGAGGACTCTGGAGGAACTGCTCAGGAGTCAGCCGGACAGGCCAGAGTTCACATCCACACTCAGACCCCAACAGACTGGGGCACTTGGTCTGCCCAAGGTGCCTTCTTGGGGTGCTGTTCATCTCGAAGTCTGTGTGGCTGCGATGGGGAGGCTCCCTCTCTGCACCTCACTTCCCTGCCTCTAGGTGGGGCTGTAGAACCACTCACTCCCCAGGTCCTGAGGAGGCTGCATTCCGGCTTGTCAGTTCCCAGCAGGGTATCCACTATGATGGAGTCTGGCATAGGGGGATGAGAGCGCGGGCTCAGGAGACAGACAAGCCTGAGGTCCAGGCCTGCCTCTGCTGTGGGGCAAGTTACTGACCCTCTCTGAGTCTCAGTTCCTGCATCTTTGAGGCGAGAGGGTGTCAGCCCCGTGGTGGACTGCTCAGGACGCTCCGTGTCAGGAAGTGGCTGGCACTTAGGAAGTGCTCAGTAGGTGGTTAGCATTTTTACCAGTACTGCAGGCCTGCTACACCACCTCCCCCATTCATCCCGATCCTCCCTGTCCCAGCTGGGCCAGGGGTCACCTCTGTCACCCCACAGTCCCCTGGGCCTCCCTCCAGGCCCCGTACTACCTCAAGGAGTGGGCCTGTGACACGGCTAGCAGCATCTACAGGTGATCAGCACAGGTCTCCCAAATAGTAGAACCTTGATTTCAACATCTCCCTCCCCCAAGTGTGGAATATCTGGCATTAGCACACCTCCTACCCACAAGGAATGAAAGCGAGGGACGATCAGATGGCAGGGGCTCCCAGGCCTCTGAGCTGGCCCCGGCCTCTCGCCCCTTGCTTGTTTTGGCTCCCTGTCAAGAATGCTGGCCCGGGCCTGGGAGGCTGAC